AAAATCGGCAAACTTACACATGACACATTTTTTAAAATTTGAATCTGGATAATATTGTAGTAATTTCTCTAATTTTAAATGTCAAAATAGCTTCTTTCAGAAAAAAAAACATTTATAAATTTTTTTATGTTTAAAACTCTTTTGTATTAAATAAATTCTAATAAGAATGATCAAATAAATAATAAAAATTTACAATTTTTGTATTTATGAAATGATTATGAAGGATTTCTTAAATGCGATCATAAGTATAATCTTAACTGATCATATACCTATTAAATAAAATATGTGGCAGTACATTAATTGAAAGGTACAGTTGTAAAAAATGGTTAGTGTCATTTCCATTAGTACGTTAAAATGCGTGCTAACAGCTAAGCAGCAATGTGTGTATTTAAATTTCAAATGTACTTTTTAACTATAACGTAATTATATTCTGATTAAAGTAAAAACAAAAAAAAAACTTCTTAAGACGGCTAATTTTTTCCATTTTCTCTATACTTTCAATATGGCGCTTACCATCTTTTACCTCAGAACCTTTCAATTACATGTGAAATTTAAGGGAAGGAATTGCAAAAAGTATAACATTGTACACGATGGAAAGGAGGTTGATACATTGCCTACATTGGTATTTTTTAGTAGTATTAATAGCGTACGAACTTCTTATAAAGCCTACTTGTTTACTGATGTAAAGAATGTTGCTCAATGTGTGCCCCATTGTTTAGGTGTAAAATCTGAAGCTGCGGTCTGCTGTTCAGGCAATGAACAGTGTGTTCATTGCCCAAACAGCTGACAGCAGCTGCTCTCCACGATGCTTCGCCATGTGCAGTGTAATACGATCCGTTAAGTCTGCCAAAGTTGCAACATTTTCATTATAAACCATATTCTTTAAATAGTCCCAAAACCAGAAATCGCACAGATTAAGATAGTCATTGTTTTCACCGTCTTTATTCATGTTTAAAATATCACTTAAGGTTAGTCTTCATTACTTACTTTGTTTTGTTTTGTGTATTTCCCTGCAAAGTGTTTCCTAATAATGGAAGTCTTTGAACTAAATATTTTACAAAATCTTTTTCCTCATCCTTTGCATAGTTTGTATACAAATTTTGGTATCAAATCATGCATTGGCTAAGTTACAGAATGTTCTGAATAGGAAACTTCAATTGTAACTCAGCTATCTTGTACATCGTTCTACATGACAGGGGAAAGGGGGTCAAAAGCGGCTCAAGAACTGACTCTGTATACATAGCATTATTCATCACACACAATAATGAATAATATAATGATTTTGTACAGGAACATACTGGTGTATGATGATATAACAGTATTATACAGGGTGTCCTGTCAAGACCGTATAAACTCTACAAAGAAAGAATACACGCTCCGAGTATATAAAAAAATGACCCAAGAACCATACCTCTACGACCAGTGGCAGGGTGTCAGCTTGCCCAATGGCAAGTGAGCCCCCTTAAATATTAGACAATATGTTAAAAATATAATAATTCCAATATTACTACTATATGCAACTAAAATTTCCATTGTATTACTATTTTAATAAAATCATTTTTCAAGGATACATTATATTTAAGAATATAATAAATAACTAAAAATATAATTCTGATTCAGGTTATGTTAGACCGATGCATACGTTATATAGGCTTGAATCTTTACTATTGCAACTACTCAACGAAGATTAATGGGAAATTATAGCCTAGGATGGTGATGTGCAGCTGTAGTCAACTTTGTATCGAGCTGTCGCACACATTTCAAAGACAGCAAATATTTTTAATTAAGTCCCGCTCAGTTTGAGTGTGATTCATCAGCTTTTCACCTCGCGCTAGCTGTGTTGTAGGAGTGTTTTCATTAATATTTTTATATACTGTTACCCTACCCTATTTAATTTAAATATAAAGGATTATAAACATTACAAAGATTTTAGGAAAAGCACTTCCTTTTCGAGGTCACATAAATGAATTCACCTACTCTCTGGACAATGAGATTCTGAATCATTGCAATTTTTTAGCTACAGTGTAGTTGATGGCTTAATATTACCCTACTATGGCAGCTCACATTACTGCAGTACAAAACAAGTTTACACAAAAAATCAAACGATTAGAACAACAAAGAAAGGATGAAAGTAAAGGCTGTGGTGGATTTATTACATACCTGACAACTATTAACACGTTAATCCAAATTATGAAGAATATGATACAAGGAAAAAATTTCATGAGGTTTCTTAAGCAAAATATTATTCTATTCAACTTGATTCAAGAAAAGATAATTTAACCATCAATCAGTCTTGCATTATTATATGGTATGTGCTTAAAAGTGTTATTTGTAAGCGACTACTTTTAGTTGTGACAAGTAATGTTGGTACAGGACTTTTTGATCTATTGGCTGAAACATTACGCAGGGATGGAGAACTTTACAGTCTGCATGCCATATTGTAAGCATACTTAGCTTTAAAGATGTTTGTGTGCGCCAAAGTTTTAGATTTTGAATAATGACACAAAAAAATTAAAGGAATATGCTTTAATTAAATCAATGTTAAAAAGCTGATTGAAAGAACGATGATCAGATGATAAACCAAAAAGATGATTGAATAAGATAGATGATAAATTGAAATCATGATACGTTATGTGCCACTTTTGGCACGCTACATAGATTCACCAGCCCTGCATTACAGCATCTTAAAATTGATCTCAGAAAACGTTTATCTGACTGTACAGATGGAGCTGCAAGATATGACAATGAATATAATTGTTTACAAAATAAAATTACTGATGTGGCTGATCAACATATTCATATATGAAAGTGTGTCTTGAATTTGATGATAACTAAAACAACAAAATGTTGTGTGCCCGTAGTTTGTTTTTTTCAATTTTTTCTCCAGAATTTAGCAACTTTTACGAAAACATCATACAAGGAAATGGCTGTGTGGATAGACGTTGCTGGAAAATATCTAGGACAAGAAAAAAATTAAACAATTAAAGCTAATTGGTGAGACAAGATGGTCTGGGAAATTCAATGCAGCAACAACTATATTTAAACATTTTGATGATGATGATGTCAGTACTTGTATATAAACAACTTGTATATATTTGAAATTACAGCTTATCATCAAGTTATTTACAGAAAAATTGTTTAGATATGTTTACTACATACAATTTAGTAAATTCAACTACAACAAATATGAAGGAACAGACAAGAACATTTGATAATGTTTACAGCAAGGCATTAGAAATTGTAAATAAATTTAATCACAAGATTTTATAGTTGAATATGGATGAAAATGAAATATTGGAAATTGACTCTAGAAATAGCATTGCAGAGGCAAAGGAAAAAAAATTGCAAATTAATTTATAAATGAAGGAAATTCCTCAGATACTCTAGCCGATTTTTGAGTAAATGTGTTTAACCTAATAATGGATCACATTGTCCAGTCATTAGATTGAAGCTATATACAACACGAAAAGTTTTATAAAGAATTATTCTACTTGGACCCAGCAAACTTCAAAACTATTGCAGAGAAGGGTCTTGAAGATGAAGCATTGGAAGGAATCAAATGTTGCTATCCATTGAAAAAGAAATGTTAGTTGAATTTGATGAAGAATCACTTATTGATAGATTCGTGCAACCATCTAGTGAATTCAAACGATTGCTCTTATTGGTGGATTAAATGAAATATGCTTTTGAACTACTTGCTAACATGTAGAATGTTCAGTACAAGCAAACTATTTAAAAATATCTATCATTTATTCAAAATTTAAAAAATAATAATAATTAAAAAATTCAATTATAACAATCTGTATTTACATTCTGTATCTACTGTATACTGCCAGTAATATTTGCAATATATGTACATACACTGTAATTACTGAAAATTTACATTTATTTCACAAAAATTTTAATTATATCTTTTTCTGCTTATGTATTTTTGAAAAGTTTATTTATTTCTTATAAAAATTAAATAATAGCCTTATAATTGTGGGTAGGTCCCTTTTTGTCTTCTGACAACCAATATACAGTATTTAGATCCAGTCCGCTACTGTCTATGACACAGTTTCGAAAAAGAAAAAAAAAAAATGCAAAAGAAAAAGTATGACGTTATATCCAGTACACGGAAAATAAGCTTTATTGGAAACATGAACCTCAATGCTTACATAGATATTATTTATGATTTTATGCTTACATAGGAAGATGCTCAAAATGACTACTGCACAAGCTTTAGAATGGCTGACTGCACACCATCCAGCATCGGGTTGGCCACAAAAGTGAATGCAGCATGAAGATGAGCAAGCAAGATTTTGTGCAGTCAGACAGTCTATGGCATGTGCATGCATGCCTTGATATGTTTGGTGGTCATTTTGAGCATCTTCTTATGTAAGCATAATATCAAATGAAAGTATCGATGCTCGTGTTTGAAATAAAGCTTATTTTCTGTGCACCTCATGTGATGTCACATTTTTTCTCTCATTTTCAAAAACTATGGGTTGTAGAAGTATAGTTCTTGAATCATGTTTTATATATCCTGAGCGAGGATTCTTGTTCTGTTCAGTTTATGCAGTCTTAAAGGGACACCTTGTATAATAAAAGTTATGCTTTATTATAACTTAGTAAAATAAACAGATTATTTATACAAGTTTATTAATCAGATTCTTTTACTGAGAGACAGACTCCTATATATCCAGGTCAATGAATGAAAATTTCTGATTGACTTGGGATGAACCGAGTCCTTCAGAACAAGCACACGAGGTAATTGTATATTAAAATTACATAAGCAACAGTTTATTTTACAAAAATTTAATCCGTTGTTAGACAAATCCTGTTTGCTCTTAGTCACACATTTATAATTACTATGAAATTTTTATTTACATATGCTTCACTATGCAATACTTATTTATATACTGTAATAATGCAGTAAACTTAAATTACCACAAAATATGAACGAGATGACATCAAAGAAATTGACTGGGGTATCCAGGTTGTATGATCGCCTATTTTCCACCGGATCCTAGAGAGCAACTATAAAAAATTTCATCCAGATGTTTTAATGTTTGTCATTACTTTCCTCCCCATACTGCCCAGGCAAAGAGTATTGCTAAATCTCTTTGGATAGCTTTGAATAGAGATACTTAAATTATATACTGAGTGATCATAATAATTAATTTTAAAATAAATTATAAATATCTTATAGATATTTAAATATATAAATTCTAGTTAGTTTTTCATTGCCAGAAACATTATAGATCTGTTTTGAATTTTAATTTAAAAAAATTTCTTAGAAATATAATTATTATTGATTCTGGCTTCTCAAACTATTTGATTAGACTATTGAAAAATGAAAAATGCTTCATTTGTGAGTTTTTTTAATCAGATTAAATTTGCTTATTCATTAGGCTAATAATAATAAAAATTATTATTATTATTCTGTTTTTAAAAATTACTTAAATTCAGAATAATTAAATTACCTGTGGGTAAGACAATTAAAAAAAATTGAATTGGACACATTGAAAATTGCAACACAATTCATTATTGAATATTTTGTTAATTGTTTATATTGCAGCCTCTGGCTCTTTCTTTTAATTAGTAGTTATTATGAGAGTGAAGTTTGCATTTAAATCAATAATTATAACAGTACATTATATACTTTTTTTGAATAAGCTTTATCTAAATATTTATCCAAAAACCGATTTTATAATTCTTTAAGTGTGCTCATTACGACCATATTTTGCAGATATTGAAAGAAAACATTATTATTTCTTTTAAAATTAAAACTTTTATTATACATCTTACTTGTAAACTTTTTATTTTACAAGAAAAATCTTCTCCTACTTGTTTCCATTTCATGTCGCTGTAAATAAATAAAATTTCAATTTAATATTTACTATTTGATATAAAAACTTTTAAATGTGTATTTTATTTTATTTAAA